ACTTCTCACTCACTCACTCACTCACTCACTCACTCACAGACAGACACACTGAAGGGCTGATCTCTCACTAACTGATTAGCCTCATTGATTAACCTACAATACACATGTAGTTAGCCTGAGAAATCACAAACCTGTCAACCCCTCCCAGGGTTGAAGGTACTTGAAATGACAGATCAATTAACAAGGATCAGAGGAGCAGGTTTTTAAAGGGTGTTTTGATTGTTATTTTATTAGGTTAAAGCTTTGATAAACCCACTGCACACTATTGATATGCCCAGCTTAATTTCTTTAACTATATCATGTGTGGAATTTGGTTTGGAACATGAGTCAAATGTGGAGGAAGCACTTGGAGGAAGATCTAACCAATGAATCACAAAGGAAGTGCTTGTGATGTACATTCAAAATGCTCAAGGTGCCCAGTAGATACAGTGTGTACTGTACCTATTAAAGACACATGACTGTGATTGGCCACAAGATGGTGCCACCACCAGACTATGTGTGACTATGTAAGAGGAAGTTATGGCTCTGTCCTATCATAAATGAGTCGTGACAGCTTTCCCAAAGCCAATACATTAATTATATAATATTCAGAGACAATATTTTCAGTATGATAGGTACTGACTTTGTCCCAAAGTCTTTACAGTGTCTTCACATTTTTAACATGTAACTGTAACTGCTTCTTTGTAATTAAACAACAATCGCAGCAGCTTGTGCCCAACCATAACACGGCTCAAAATTGAAGGTGGTTTAAGTGTCCTGCTGTTCTGGGGAAGTGTACCAGCAGGCTTTGTTTCCTGGAACAATAACTCTTTAAGGCTGAATATAAGACTGACTTGCTTTTTACAGCAGACCAATAAAAATGTTCATGGGGTGTGTGTTCTGTGCTACTGGATTTGGTGTTTGTACCTTTTATAGAAACCTTCATTACACCCTTTAAGGAATGTGTTTTTGTATAACGGGCCTTCAGGAACATTAATTTAAAAACATTACAACTTTAGATATGTAAAAAATTATATTAGTTAATTATACATGCTCTATCTGGGCATGTAAATAAAGTATATTTTACATCAAGCCTTTATTTAATACCAAAAATATTGACTTTTTAACTCAAGGTGGGTGCAAACCATCAGCAGACTGCAGCATGTAAGATAAATCTAACAAACTATGTAAAATCTTACAAACAATACATAATAACCTCAAAAGTAGGAAGCCCTACAGAGGTGTAGGCTTGAATGAAACAAGTGATTGAAGTTGCTGCTCCAGAACACAGCTGCAGTATTAGTCTCTGTTGGGGATTAATTTTTTTTTTTTTTTTTTTATTCCTGCAAATGTACAAAAATGCTTTCAGAAAATAACACTCCAATGCGGACACAGTCATTCACTTCTTTCTCACTGTACTTGTCAGCTCCTTGTTCCCATGGTAACAGACTGTTCCAGACAGGCTTTGAGTCCTTTGAGGAGCGTAACATGCAGAAACTGAGGTCTACAGTAAAGGAGGTCAGGACAACTTTACATTGCTGTTGCAATGGCAATGGAATAAAATATAAATGTTTTAGTGCATTATGATCAAATTCTGTGAAATCCACATGAACTAAACATGGTGATTATGCTCTGAATTTAAAGCGTGCTTTTTTTTTTAATCTGTTGATGCAGCTTTACAGTAATACAGACTAAACTTTGATGCTGTTCATAAGAGACCTAAACCCTTTATCCCAGTTTCAGCTGAGCTATACACTATTTAAGCCAAACTCTTCTATAGTGCAGGAGAAAATGGATTAAACTTCACTTTGTGTAGAAGTGGGTGGACTCGCTTTGTTTCCCCTTGATACCAAGGCGCTGTCTGTCAAAATCAATGCTAGTAAAAGCCCTTCAGCTTCAATTAGATCACTCTGTCCAGTATTTTACCAGTAATTTAATTCTCCTACAATGGACACCTGCACGCGCACATATGTGCACACAGTCGGTTTGTATATTCACAACACTTATTCACACATGTGTTCACACACACACACACTCACACACACAGACACACAGTGCAATGAGTAAGACCAGTAGTTAGATGGGATGATCTCATCCTGAGACACTGAGAGATGATGTCAGACTTCAGATCAGGACTCCGCTAAGCTACTGTAAGTGTTTATGTTTTTACAGGCCACGAGGGTTTGCAGTTCAGGAGTGGGCGTGTGTGTGTGTGTGTGTGTGTGTGTGTGTGTGCTACAGTCTAATCAGTTCATCAACTAATCTAAAAAAGCTTTATCTGGTGTTCTAAAATTGATTCAAATCTAAATCTATTTTGTCTGCAGAGATTTCAGGAGCAGATTTTGTTCACTTCTCTTCCTCGTCCCAATATTCAGCCACTTTCATGTTCTGTAAAGTGTGTGATTCCTCATCCTGCATCCCCAGAGCTTTTTTTTTTTTTTTTTACCCACCCTCTCCCTTCCCAATTTCTCCCATGGGTGTTCTCGATATGCTCAACTGTTTCATTTGGTCTTCCCTCCTTATTTTCCACTGCTCTGGTCCCCCCATCTTATCTTTGTTCTCCCAGAATCACTGAAATAATCTGTTTGATCTTATTTCCTCCTCCCTTCTCTTCCTCACCCATTCCTCCTCCTCCTCCTCTCACTCTTTCTCCCTACTCCTTTTTTTTTTCTTGTCTCTCTCTAGTGATCTCATTTCCAGGATGTGTACGATGTCTAATGTCACACATGCATTTACCGTCAGGAGTGGCTGAGGAGAGGAGAGGAGAGGAGAGGAGAGGAGAGGAGCGACAACAGGACACACCCTAATGTGACCTCATGCATATCCCTCTCTCTCCTCTGGTGTTGTAAGCTCTTTCATCTCGTGCCTGTGGACAGCGCGGTGACATCATGTTTGCTGTGTGAGCTGAATACAGGATCAAAGGGCGGCAACAACAAATACGTCACTTCACCTCTGCTTTCCTTCAGTGTTTGTCCTCCATCCTCCAGCTGTGTTTTTGTTTATTTTTTTACATTCTTAATTAGATGTCTGCACAACACAGTTCGGAAAAGGATTGTAATTGGATTGTAACTGTAGCAGCAGCGTTTGTGTTGCTACAGTTACAATTACGCTGCTTCTGTTGTGCATAGATCCTCGAAGAGGAAAACATAAGAAAGGCCCCTCTACCATGTGCAGGATTAGGACTACAGTTTCATCACATCAGGGGCAGCTGCTCCAGAGTCCCTCTGCTATGACCTTAGGGTAATAACTGAGTCATGGAAGTCACCCACCAGGGAAAAGAAATATTCTGGATGAATTGATTTTCAAATGGGGACTTAAACAGTCAAATGGTCTCCTGACACAAGACGCAGGTGACCAGTGTTGAGCAGCAACACATTAACAGGCGTTCACACCAAAATCAGTTATAACAACACAGGGGGTTGTATTGGTGGAGGGTGTGCCCAGTATGAAATCTGATCCGTTAGTCAACAGATCTACGAAGTCGAAGTTTCACGAAGGCCAAAGTTGTCTTATTTACATGTTGTGTGGCTTTAGGTTGCTCACTAACGCTGCTGGTGAACCTGCATTCAGGACTGTGCTGGGTTTGTTGGTGTTGGAGAATGTCTGAAACACACAGCTTCACTGTGAGGACTGCAGTCACCAGGGTTAACATGAAGCTAGCTCTTGCTGGTCAGTATACCTCTCAAACTGGATGCTTGTTTCTCCATAATGTCTTTTGTCTATATTGTCTATTAAATACATACATGTATAAGAATATGTGACATGATGTAATGATAATTACTTTTGTCATTGAGTAATTAGTAAAGCAGGCTAACACAGTTTTCAGTGAGTAATATGTGATGAGGAATTGATTGCATTTTTCAAAAGACTTGTGCAACACTGCTGTAGATATAGTGACAGACCTGGTATTAGACTTGTGCAGCTGTAAATAAGCTAAATTTGGTTTAATGTAAATGTTAGCAACGTTAAATGAAATCCTAAATAAAGAATACATGAACCTTAACAAACCAACTCCAGTGTGACTGTACCTCTTACAACAAAGAGGTATTCAGCATAAAACTGAAATATGAGAAGCATTTTGTTAACACAGTCACCATGATTATAGCTAAAAAAAAAAAAAACTAACTGAAAATGATAAATTAAAAAAATGATTATCATAATTGATTAATGTTTCCATTATTTTTTCAATTAACTCATCACTTTTTTAGTCTACATGTGTTTGTGTTTGTTTTGTCCAATCAACTGTCCAAAACCCAAAGATGTTCAAAGCACAAAATAAGCAACTGAGAAAATCATATTTGAGAAACTGGAGGCAGCGGATGCTTTGCCTTTTTTTCTCTATAAACATGAATTAATGACTTCAATTAATTATAAATTATTAATGAACTTGACCAGTCAGCTTTGTTTTTAGCATCGTTCATAGATTAAAAACAGGAACATCTGAACTGGAATTAGATTAGACTGAGGTTAAATATGTTGTAGTATTGAATGTGAACAAAGGGTTTTTAATAGTTGGAGTAAGATGAAGAAGCTCAGTAGCAGAGGTACCAGTGTTTGTAGCTCTTAAAAGTGGTAGCAATAACAAATATTTGGTAAAATAAAGTGCATGTGCTTCACACTGGAAAAGGTTCCTACTTCTTATATTTACAGTTTGGATCTAAATAATTTAGTGTTTTGCGTGGTTCCTAGCAGGGCTCCCTGCTGAGATACACACACACACACACATACACACAACCAATCTTTACCAATTTCTCACACTATTTCACTCAACTCACTCCCACATATAATATACATACACACACTCTCACACACATAATCACACACTGCTGCGCCATATAATAAAACAGTGATTCTACCACCCACCCTGCAGTACAACACAAAGAGCTGACGACCCTCCCCCCATCTTCCCTCTGCTCTCCCATTGGCTGGGAGGCTTGGATGCTGGCAGTATCTCAGACCAATAAGACATCTTCAAGGTGATGTCATGGAGGCAGCATTGATGCTGTTGCTGATGCTGTTGCCCGGCGCCTGTATCTGTGCAGCCAGACAGGGGTAACCGTAGCCACCGGTCCACCATCAGCAGCAGAGAAGGGACAGAGGGGGGTAAGTCTGCAGCGCTCGCATCACTAAACACACATCTGCACACATCTGCCTTTCCCTTGTGTCACTAAGGGATCTGAAGGTTAAGATTTATTTCATAACAAAACGATGCCTGCATGTGTGTGTGTGTGTGTGGTTGTGAGTGTGTGAGTAGGGTGTAATGGGGCGAGGGTGAGGATAGTGATGATGCGGTGGTTCCTGCTGACAGGAGAATGAGGAAAAGAGAGAGAGGGGGAGAGAACTCGGTGTACCCACAAACAGTGTATGATGTGTAATGTGTGTAATTTATTATTGGTCCTCCAAATGTGCAGATGCAGCTTTGTGTCTGCACAACTTGACCAGCTACGCTTGATCTTTTGGGAGGGAGGGAGGGTGGGAGGGAGGGAGAGAGAGAGAGAGAGAGTGGGAGAGGTAGATGAGGGAGTGTGTATGTGTTTATGTGGAAAAAAGGTGTGTGTGTGTGTGTGTGGGTGTGTATAACAAAAGAGAGTAAGAGAGAGACATAGTATAAGGACCAATGCGAACCAGCAAAGTATCTTTGCTATAATATCAGTTTAATCTATAGCTCTACAATATTACAGATTCATTACAGTGTGTGTATACTGTAATTTTAAGTTCAGGTATTAGGTCAGAGAAGAAAGAGAAAACCGTAGGCCGTATGTGAACTTTTGTTGGAGTACGTTACAAACACTTCTCCTACGAGAAATCTAAATATTAAACACAGAAATCAGAAGTTTTTAAGTATCATTAGATGGTGTTTGTGGATTAATGTAAATATGATATTACATTCATAATGTTCAGTTTATTTTTCATGCAAGAATAAAAGAAAAATACATAGATGTGGAAGGCTACTTTAAATACTGCATTAAGTTAATAAGAAAAAACTTACGGTTCATCCAGGACATTGAAGGTATCATTGCTCTGTATTCAAAGTGCAAAATGAAAGACTTTTTGAAAAAATTTGATATCTGCTCAAGCAAAATGGCTGCTGCCACTGCTGAAAGAAAAACTACTGGAAGTATGGAACAATATTAAAGTTTTATTTATGGTTCTATGAGACTTTTGCTGACTACGCAGACAGATTGATTTTCAGATAGATGTCAAGAAATTATACCTTCAAAAAAATTCTAAATAGATAGTCATCAGTTTGCTACAGCCACTACCCAGTTGGTTTGGCTTAGCACAAGGACTGGAAACATGTTCAACATTAACAAAATCTACCCACCAATACCTTTAAATTCACTAATTAACAAAGTATATCTTTGATTTAGAGTAATTCATATAAAACTGGATGTATAAAAACAATTTGTCTTTTTACAGGGTATGTGCCAGATTATGTGTCTGAAATCAATCCCTTCTTCACTGATTCCCCTCTCCGCATATAACAGACACCGTAGTGAGATGTGAATTGAGATTTCAGACGCTTAATTGCTACTCATCATCATTTTGTGTCATTTTTGAGGCCCTATATAGCGGATACATGTGCACAAGGAATTCAGACACTAAAAATAAAAAGATTGACAGGAGTGATCCAGGCTATTTCTTGGCCACGAACAGTAACTTCCTGAAGTCTCAGCTGGTCGCCTGGCAACTAGCCTCAGCCAAGAATTAGTCCAGTACATAAACAACCATAAAACAGCTTTTTTTAGACTTTGATTTTTGTACAGATTAAACAAACAAGACATCATGTGTTAATCAGTGAGCTTTAGAGGTGTTGGTAGGTGGATTTTGGTACCTTTGGACTGAGCCAGGCTAACTGTTTCCTGATGTTTCCAATCTTTATGCTAAGCTAAGCTAACCAGCTACTAGATGTAGCCACAGATTTAACATACAGACCAGAGTGTGGTGTCAGTATTCTCATCTCACTCTCAACAAAAAAGTGAATTAATGTATTTCCCAAAAAATGTGGCACAATAAGATGAGAAATTGTTCCACTATGCTTTTTATTTTCTCAGGCAATTCTTCTCTTATCTGAAAACCATCATGTCATTATGAATTAACTACATTTCTAGAGAGCTCACAGGAGAAATATTACCTTCAGCAGACATGAGAGACTGAACTGAATTGACCCTCAGCAAGATTTCCCGTCAACATGACCCAAATGTTCCCTGTGAGCGCTGAGACCTTCACAAGCTACTCTCTCTCTCTCTCTTGTTTTATTGACAAACAAGAAATGGAGCACTCCTACTCCTGCAGGAAGCAGTGCATTGATCTGCAACCTGGGCGGTTTCATAAGATGAGAAGCAGCTCTCTCTCTTTGTGTGTGTGTGTGTGTTACTGCCTGATGAATGTGTGTATGTTGATACACAAGTGGGTAATTTGTGGTATCTCTACACGTACGTTGCATGTGTCTATGTATGTGCACGTACGGCTCCCTGTGTGACAGTCCCTCTGGGAACCATGTCAGGGTGCTCAGGTGAGCATGTGCTCTACACTTTAATGAGACAGACTCCTTCTCTGTGACATAGGTTGGCTCATTAGTACATTTCTCACACTCTGTGGAGCTCACTACTCTTCAGGCATTTTGCATGATGACAGGCATGAAAATGATAGGTAGATATATAGATAGATAGATGCTTGCTAGCTTTACTGATGCTGTTAGCAACAACAAGCATAATTACTTTTCTTTCAGATAGTGTAGCTAGTTTAGCATAAAAACAGGAAGCAAGGGGAAACAGCTAAAAAGCTAAATAATTAGCATGTTGTATCTCATCTGTACACAAACAAAACTGTAAAAACAACTATTTGCTTTTTGGTTGATGCATTCGTCAGCAAGAAGTTACACCACTGAACTTCCCAGGAAGCAAATAAGCATATTTCCCAAAATGTTAAACTATTCCAGCAATAACCATAGCTATTCTATTTAGCACGTTGAATCTGGAAAGATATCATGGTTGCTCTGGTTGGAGGAGCTATTTAATATTTTGTGGTAATTCAATTCAATGACTGCCCTCCAGACCTTCACTCCAGCCTCCTTCAGCGTTCAACCTTTAGTCTCACGGCTGGACTGTAACTGTTTGGATGGTCACCTGTGTGGAATCTGTGCTCACAGATGTCTGATGATTAAATTAGGCACACATTAGAAAATATTGGTACGTCCCAGCCTGTGGTGAAAATTGGTTTTAATGAGGTTCGAGTGTTCCTTTGCTGTTTTCTTCAACACTTTGTGCCGGATTCTAGTGGGTGTCCACATGATAAGAGTGCATATAGAGAATTAAAGCAAACTTAATTAGTGTGTGCACTGGGCTGTGAAGAGGTCAACAAGTGCGCAGGGCACTGCTGGTTTCTCACATGATAAAATTATCCATTTAGCTGACAGCAAGTGATCAAGTATTAAAGACCTCTGAGTATTTGTTGATGTGATTAACCACGGGTAGCAATGATGCGGGAAGCTCTGTACATTTCTATTAACTTGATAAAAAAAATTTTTTGTTATAGTACAAGACTTATTCGTTGAACTGTAATAGGAGATAAAGAGTTAGGGAAATCACTGTGGTTCAGTTTATCTATAGCAAAGCTTGAGACCATCTGACAGACAGAGGGACAGAGTGATAGCAGGTGGTGGAAAGGTCTGGAGAGATAATGTGCTTCTCTGCTGCTTCTGTATCTCAGTGCAGATCGCTGCACTTCAATTCAGTCTTTGAATTAATTCAAAATCTAATAATGTTGAATTCCATTTACTCTCTGTGAAGCAGGCAGTCATCTTTGTTGTGATTAACAGGCCACTAATGGAGTATCAGAGACATCTCTGCTCTAATCCCAACATACTGCTGCGCTGTTTAAAGGTTTGAGGTACATTTTCAGCAGGTGGTGAAACAGGCTGTTGTTGATGCCTCACTTTGTTATTTATACCTTCCCTTCCTCTTCTGTATCTTCTCAGAGATTTACAACTACTTCTCCCACGTCACAGCTGTGATTCGCTGCAACAAACAGGGCTGGGTAAAAAAAAACAAAAAGTTTAAAGACCCCCCCCCCCATCCAAAAACATGTTTTGCTTATTGTTACACCTGGATATTTGAGTTTCACAGTGCAGAATAACATAGGTGCTCAGTTTGACACTAGAAGGTTGTTTTCACATGCATTTGCTGAAGAGGGGACGTTTCTCACCTTAAATCTGAGTTTAAATCTGAATTTAAGGTCCATACAAGCAGGATTTTTGTGACATTACAGCTAGACTGGTTCCCTATCATGGTCCACTATGGATCTTGCACAAGTGTGATGTGGAAACATAAAACAGCTCTCAAACATTGAGAATCGAATTTCCAGTGTTTCCATCCATAAAATACATGGAAACAGCAGTAAATGGTGCATCAGCAAAAGAAAAAAAGCAGTGATAGATGCATAGATAATAGTTTCCACATTGTTCGGTTTGAGTTTTGACTGGTACTCTTTTAATAACATAATCTTCCTGCACACTCTTCTTCTACAATGCTTTAATGACAGCTGACTGGAGAATCAGTGCAACCAACCGTTTATCCTGAAGAACCAATTTGTAATATTCACATGACAGTAGCAGGTGGAAACATTCATTAATTCACTTTTCTTTTGCAGATGTCTTTTAAATTCTGTAAAACTTCCTGCTAATTTCGGAAACATGTCCACTGAAGTAGGAGATATCTTGTGTGTAGTAGCTTTGAGATAAAAAATATTTACATATTCGCAAGGGACAAGGAATAGATGTAATTTTAAGATGTATTTTATAATTTAATTTAATGTTTTTTTTTTTGGAAAAAAACTCATCAGACACAAATTATTTAACTCTGTTCTCTGGCATTTGGGGAAACATTAATAATCACAGATGTAAGAGTGGACATAGATCAGTGATATACATCAATGTTTAGGGTAAACAAGAATGCAATTTTCCTCTGAAGCAGTTGTAAAGAGCTTGTGTTTACTTAGTATCTCATATTAAAGGAGAGACAGTCGATTTTTGTTCACATGGGAACAGGATGATGAGGATCTTGGGTCAAAATGCTGATTATCTCTTTTTCATTATTCATCCTTGTTTACTTGCCTGGTTTGATTTCCCCAGTTCTTCAGGGTATTCAAAGTGACACATTATCCTTGAGAAGAATTACCCTCTATTTTAGCCCAAATGCATTATGTGATGCAGCTCTGCTCTCTCATTGGTTGAATTAAACTTTAATGGGAGGAGCTTACACAAGTGCGCAGCAGTTTTCTGGTCTTGTTAATTCTCCCCGCTTCTCAGATTCATTATGTGACCTTTGAATCTGCTTCACTCACTCCTTCCCCTGTGTCTCTCTCTGTCTCTGCATGTCTGTCTGTGACAGTGAGAAGGATCTTCAGCATCCCTGGAGAGCTACATACGCAGTGAGAAGATGACTCTGGCAGGTAAATGCAGCCACGGCAGAAACTCCTCACAGCCCTGCTCTATGTTCTGCTAATGATTGGGATGATAACTATAGTCATGTATCTTGCCATTATTGTGACTGATACAATGAGAATGACTAGTCACTGTCAGTGAAGAGGAGAATTGCATCATCAGTCCTTGGATGCTTGTTCATCATTCAGTTTCAGTCAACAATGTGTGTGTGTGTGTGTGTGTGTGTGTGTGTGTGTGTGTGTGTGTGTGTGTGTGTGTGTGTGTCCTCAGCCTACAAAGAGAAGGTCAAAGAGCTCCCCCTGGTGTCTCTGTTCTGCGCCTGCTTGAATCCACAGACGGTAGAAAAACCCACGTACAAGGCAGAAGGTAAAAAGATATATATGTTTTGCACAAGTCATTCTGGGAAATGTAGGAATTTGTTACACTAAAACACACAAGACTGTAAACAACAAACCACATGATGCAGCAAATATAACATGCTGATGATGTGTGCTTCCCTTTATGAAAAATTCCAAGTAAATAAATCTAAACATGGCCATAATCCAACACCACAGATGCGGTGGACCTGGGATGGTGCGTCATCAAAGACGTGGAGGTGATTGAGCTGAATAAGCGGGCATCGGGCCAAGCCTTCGAGGTCATCCTCAAGCCGCCGTCCTTTGATGGCGTGCCAGAGCTCAACACCTCCATGCCGCAGCGCCGCGACCCGTCCCTGGAGGAAATCCAGAAGAAACTGGAGGCGGCCGAGGAGAGGCGAAAGGTGAGGGGAGTGGAAGTGGAAGATTTGTGCATCATAACCCAAACTAGACGTGCCCTCACCCTTATCAGTAACCCTAGCTATTTGTTGCTCATTCAGGCATCGTCAAACATCTGTCAACACTTTTTGTGAGAAGCATGATTTATCGGCGAGAAATAGGGTGGAAATGGATAAAAGGAAAGAGGGAGTGATGGAGTGGATGGAGAGGTAGGGAGAAAACATGAGCAGAGGGAAGATGAAATGATGAAAACAGGGATATGAAAGTACAAGGGCAATCACCCAAGGACACACGCACAATGGCTCGTATTCATCAGGGAAAGAGGATGGGGAAGGAGGAGAGAGGGGAAAGGTGAAGGGAGAGAAAATATAGCTGAGTTTAGAGAGCGCGCTTTACAGAAGAATAGTCACAGGACACCTGCAACATCAAATGCAGTCATGGGAAGGTAATTAGTATGCACTTCTTCTTGCATTGCGCAGAGACACAATCAAAAAATAGTCAGCAGTAATTGAAATTAGTCTATTTCCTGAAGCGGTGATCACAGCTACTGTGAATCTTGGCACATGCCCATGGCAAAGTAAACAACAACATAACTGTACAGACGCACACTGCATCTCCTTTGTCTTTCAGAGAAGGAGAACTGGATTTCCTTTACATGCCAACATACATTTGACATTGTTTTTTAATCTCGGCAGTCAATGACTTCTCCAGGTCGCAGACTCAGCTGTAGACGAACCCACTCACAGACACAGAAACTCTAACCCTAAACATAACCCTCTGTTATTTTGGTGTGTCATCGAGTGGGTGTGTTTTGTTGGATCTCTGCAAGCTGCAGATACAAAGGCGTCATCATTTAGGTCCAAGGCTCAGGTGTCCTTTTAGCAATTTGTAGTTTGAGTATTTTGTAAAGGTGAAATTCAACTGTTGAGTCTTTCTGTCTCCCTCTAGTGCCAGGAAGCCGAGCTGCTGAAGCACCTGGCCGAGAAGAGGGAGCATGAGCGCGAGGTGATCCAGAAGGCCTTTGAGGAGAACAACAACTTCATCAAGAACGCCAAGGAGAAGCTGGAGCAGAAGATGGAGGCCAACAAGGAGAACAGGGAGGCCCTGCTGGCAGCCATGCTGGAGAGGCTGCAGGAGAAGGTACTGTCTTCATATCATTATCTCCAAATATTTAAAGAGCCTATTGACAGCTACAGTATTCGCAAACTCAGGGTGTCACATTTGAAGAAACAAACTCTAATGCACCAAAGCAATTACTGGAAATGTACCATTCATTTCTGAGTCCATTGTTACCTTTGGTATTTCTTACTCTCATGAATAACTGAACAAATGACAATGGATTTTAAAATAGAAAAAGATCAGATGTCTAAAAGGTCAGCTTTTGAAAATAGTCTCTCAGGAGAGCAGTGGATCTGTCTAGGCTTACCACAGTGGAGCTAGGCTTACCACATGTGGAAGAAATTCATCATGGCAGAATCAGACATATCAAGTTTTCCACCAGCAGCAGAGTACAGAACTTCAGTATCATTACTTCTTATGTTCTTTCCAAATGCATCCAGTGTCTACAAGTTCTCTGGGGGCTGAACTTGTTTATGTGTTCATGTGTTCAACAGTCTCATGCAGCCATTTTACTGCAGAAAATAATATTTTTCCTGCTGGGCCAAAACCTGCTCTGTAATGCAGCAGCAGTGTAGTTGGGGCACTATTAAAAGGGCTGGTTTGACATTTTGGGAATACACTAGTTAAATAGATAACAATTATATAAGAAACTCAATACCACTCTTGTGTCTGTGTGTATGAAGGTAGAGTAGGTGGGTGATTTGCTCAGTTTAGCATAGCTTATCAGAGAGGCAGCGGGAAACAGCTAGCTTGGCTCTCTCCTACGCACTGCTAGGACCTGCAAGGTGAGGGTCACATGACCAGTAGAGACAGACAAATGCATTAGTGGGCTAGCTTTTAGTACAATGGCTGGCTTTTCTACTTGTACTGTATTAAGATAATTAGTTAGATTAGCAGTGCCTTATCACTTAATTAAATACAGTGTTAAAAATGTAAAAATGTAAAAAAAAATAGAGTGTGCTTTAATATTAATTATCAATAGCTATTTTCTTCTTTATTGCTATGGCTTGGTTAACACAAAATGAAATAACTGCTGTTTATAACTGTAACCCAGCAAATGCAGTCTACTGACCTATTTAAAATTAATTTTGTATTTACACAAATAAATTGTACTTTATCCCTTTAACTTTGTTTGGCTTCTGTATTTCAACCTATAATAAACTTTTTATGTCCCTTTAAACCTTGTTTAGTTTCTATATCTCAACCTCTAATAAACAAAACGTACCACTTAAATTGTGGTATTTCACCTTAAATGTACTTTTTAAGTTCCCACACGCAAGCCGGCAAAAAAGAAAATTTTAAATAAAATTAAACAAATAATCCCCGTTGCAGACCTGATCGATGCTCGGGTACGTGGTGGACAAATGATGTAGAAGTTGCTTCACTCTAACCAAGCAAATATAACTGTTCAGTACTCACAATAGCCGAGCAGGCGGGCTGATGGCTGACCGTGGCCGGCTGATGGCTGACCGTGGCGGGCTGACAGGGGAATCCTCTCTCCGGTCCCAATTAGTCCTTAAAGAAGCTACCAGGCTTCATTTGGCTACCTGGAGCACTGGCTGGTGACACCGACTGTCTCTAGTGATCCAAAGAAACTTCCAGACCTTAGCCGAGTCACTTGCAGTCTGTCTCAGTTCAGAATATCTCCCGTGGCAACCAACTTAGCTAGTTAGCTAGAAAGGCTAATAATAACACTACATCAGCTTCTGCGTCTATTACTGAACTTCTCACAGTACAATTTTCACAGGTAAGCAGGCTTGTGCTCTAATGCATACAGCGCGTTAACTACCAAACCATACAATACTCCTGTTTTACAACAGTTTTCTTTTCCTCCTTCACTCATTCTCCGAGCACTTAGCTTCGCCGAAGACGCCGCTCGCTCATCTTCTTTTTCGCTCTACCCCTGCACCTCGTCAGGTCCCGCCCCCCAGCCAATCACAATGCAGGAAAAATGACATGCGTCTTAATCAACCAACCACATATGGTAAAATCCAAAAATATTAGTTGTACTGTTAACACCACCTTCTCACTATGTACAATGCAAACAACCTAAAACTTTTTAAAGTGGCAGAACTGTTTATATAGAACTGAACATGTTAATACTGGCCACAACATATTTATTCTGAGTAGGAAAAGAAAATTAGCTACTAGCAACTAGAGTTGGACAAAAAAATTAAGGTGTACTGTTATTTATGGAGAGTTTAAATTGCCCTGGGGCTACGCCTATATTTAAACCTAATAAATATTCATATCAACATTAACATCTAGCTCATTTTGACAACCAGATTACAGGATGGGGTACCATGGTAGCAAATTGGTTCAGGCACATACCACATAATCACAATGTCGATGGTTCAACTCCTCCTTCTGTCTCCCTGCAGTTCATGTCTGTATCTCTGCTGCTGCTGTCAAATAAAAGCAGAAATGCCAAAAAAAAATTTAAAAGCCCTTATATGTCAAGAAATAGTTAACATATAACTCCCTTAAAACTAACAAATTAGCTGGCTAAGCTAGGCTAATCATCTCCTGGCTCTAGTTTTATACTGGCATAAAGGTGGTATTGATCTTGTCTCGACTCTCAGAAAGAAGATTATTCATTTTTTAACCAGCACTTCTTTATTAAGACCTTAAATGAATGTTTGAATGTTTCTTTGAATGTAGTCAGGCCTTTAATGTTATAAACCAGGATTGTTGTTCTATTTTAACATTATTCGCAAGCTTGATCAGTAATCATGAATATTACATGAGGTGGAAATGAGTTTTTAGTTCTCCCCACTCTGTATCATTCCCCTGTTCAAATCTTTATGAAGAGTCGTCGAGCCGTTCCCTTGTTCTGCTGGCATCTCCCTAATTAATGCAAACATATTCACGAATACTAATGACTCTGATGTTGCTGTGTCTGTGTTTGTCTGGCAGGACAAACACGCAGAAGAAGTGAGGAAGAACAAGGAGCTGAAGGAGGAAGCCTGCCGGTAGATGAGTGGAGCAAGGGAGCCGAGAAAGAGCAAGAGAGAGAGAGAGAGAGAGAGAGAGAGCGGGACTGGGAGTTTTTGAATTGGTAAAAAAAAAAAAAAAAAAAAAAAAGGAATTCAAAACAGGGCAAGAAAGAAAAAAAAAAAGAACTCAAAAACAACTCGAACAAAGGGAAAAGGCAAGTTTTCATATTTGACATAGTTAGTATGCTGTAACGATTCTGAATGAGCTGTACACTACTCTTGATGTTGAAATTCAAAAAGAAATCTTTTGCTTTTTTTTTTTCTAAAAAAGGAAAGTGGGTGGGTGGTGGGGTGGCATCAAAAAAACATTTAACATATTCAAAAGAGGAGCTGCTGTTGTTTGGTGAGGAATGAAAGCTGTATCACAGCAGGGGGAGGTAAAAATTTAAATTACAGCTCTCTCATTTCTTGAGTTCCCTCAGTCAGAGAGTAGGAAATTATTATAATTGCCTGCATGATATTTTAGCTGTGTTTTTCTTACTGTTGGTGCTGCTGTATATCAGCATATTGCCGCTGAATGCTACCAGCAACACAGATGATTACACAATTTACAATTAGTCTGTAACTATGAAGAAGGGAGCTGCAATCTAAATTGTTACCTGGTAAAAGATGAAAAACAGTATGATGTGTTTGAGTAACACTGGACACACAGATGTAGTTTAAGCCCTAGTCAGTCAGAACCAAAACGAGTCCAAACCAAGAGGCTTCTTCAGTTTTTGATTTACAGAGTACTCACCAGTCAATACACTTAACACGCAAGCATCTGAATTAAAAATAAAATCAGATTTCCCAGGGTCCATCGCTCTCACGCTAATTCTCTGCTGCACGATTTCTGGGATTGTTCTGTCTGTCTGGGGACATCTGTGTGTGCTAAACTTACACTAAATGGCTTATGAATATAAAATGAAGAATCTGGCTTCTGTTTCTTTCTACGGTGCTCTAAGGGAGTGAAATTTAAAAATAAAAAATCTTTTAAAAAAGCTTGAAAAGTGAGGAAGCTCTGCTGTATTCTGCCATTTTCCGGCTCTTTGTGAAACTTTTAACTGTAGTGTAGTTGTAGATCAGTGACATGCATTTGAGTCTCTTAGATTTAGAGCACTGATTGCACTCTTATTTCATTAAGCACAACTCAAAAGCACATGCATACAAGAAGGGCAGTGGATATTTACAGTAAAAACGACAATAACATCACAGGGAGGCAAAGTAGTGAGTGACAGTTGTTCAGGACTTGGACTAATTTGGTTTCGCAGTATGAGTTTGGGGCTTCTCTGGCTAACCAGTAGTCTCTGTTTGCTTTGGCATGTGTCACTGTGTGCTCTGATTGTCAGTTTATGGTTTTCAAGGGTATTAAAATCTAAAAGAGTAAACAGGAAGATGAAATTTGCTCGAGTTGTTGAGTCATACTGACTTGATTGAAATGTCTAAAATATTTGCACTGTAACTGGGGGAGTCGTAACACGGGGTTTGTACTTGCTGTAACTGTGTGTCGCTGTATGTCTTTGAGGCTGGGTTGATTGTATCTATTTGGCATGGTCAGTAAAAACAGCTTGACTGAACTTGCACTCTGCTCTTGTTCTCATCATTTCTGTCTTTGTATATTGACTGTATGATTTTCTGCACGCTGGAAAATGAAGCCAACACAGAAGTGCTTAAAACTTCAGTTCTGCTAATGACCTCTGGCTCCAAAGTCAGTGAGTTTTACAGCAGAAATAAACATATTCACAGCCTGGTACAAAAAACAGTTTTGGTCTCTATAGCTAATTTCTTCCTTCATGACAACTGTACTGGGGGTAAATTTTCATATAACTCATCTGTTAAATTTTATTAAGACTAAGTTATGCATAATTGAGGGTGTGCCGCTTTGAGTGAGAGGTAGGCAAGCATATGCTTGCTATAAAACTGGTATTCACTGAAGTCTCAGCTCCACACATCCTCTTTGTCCATTGTCAGGAGTTAGTCGGAGTCAGGCGCTGCCAAGATGGCGACGATGGAGCATCTCACTATGCCTCAAAACAACTCTTCAGATATCTATCGGTGACATCACGGAGGCTGCATCCATATTTATATACAGTCTGTGGTAAACACACACACACACACACACACACACACACACGCAAGTGTAATTTTCATTGGTGATGTGGGTTGGGGGACATTAATAGTTAAATGTTAATTTTGCTAAATAATTTTTCAAAGCAGACATCAAAGTTGGTGTAAATAAAGTTTAATAAAGCATTTCGATATTCTTTACAATAAAATAAGAATATGGTTATTATAAAATGTGAGTTAAAATAGCCACGAAACCTTATAGAAATAAAATAAGACAATTTTTTTTTTTAAAACACACACACACACACACACACAAATATGTTCAACTACACCCCTTTCAAGATTCAGTTGTCTGCTGGATTAAAGCTGCAATATGTAATTTTTCACCACTGGGGGGCAGAAAGAAAGGATACTATCAGTGTATCAAGCTCTTATGGCTAACATGTTAACTGCCCGGTCACATTGTGGCAGGTGGCACAGTAATATTCATGAAATTAGAGGCTTTGTGACACAGGGACAACTTGCACTAGCTACCACAGTTTGCAAGCTAACAGCTAACACATAGCAAGCCAGGAAGATGCTAGCGCTAATAAATAAAAAAAAAAAAAGGCTCTTTCACATTACACAGTCTGAATCAGTTATAACTTACAACACTGTGTGATTACATATTGATTGTTTTAAGTTAGAACCTGGTGAAAGCAACAGTTACAGCACGCTGAAAGAATCGCTAACGTCAGAGGCCTCCTGTGTCTTATTACTGTGGTACGACACTGGGCCGCACGCAGGTACAGCCCACTGTGATCACCTCCATCCCCAGTCTGTATTCGTACTTCTTCCTTCCTTTCCTCCCTCCTTTGTTATTTTGCCTTTGCCTTGGGACTCTGTAGTGGGATGGAAAAATAATTCACAGCTGCATATACACGGATGACGTTCAGAGTTAGACAGATTTAGTCAGATTATTAGACTACAGTATCATATTTTATTGAATTTGATTGCACCGGGTGCGAACATGGAAAGGGATGAAACACAAAGAAATTAAATTAAGTCATTGTGTCTCTAAATTTTCAAACTCAAAAAATGAAATGAGATAATTTGTCAGTTTTACACGCCGTAATGTTCATTTACTCATACCAGATAAATCACATTTACTCAGTTCATGTATTGTATGTGTATCAAAACTGATATACCATTGGTTTACACTTCCTGCTTTGATTATGTCCCACCCGAGCAGCTTTTTTCCACAGGAAATGCATCAACCAACACTATGAACTTAATTAATTTTTTTAAACGTGCACACAAGAATGATTGTAGCAGTAGAAACAAAACCAGCAACCAAAAACAACAACAAAAAAGAAAGCATCGGCAGCAGCTTCAGACTGCAATGGCTCACCTGTGGAGGACCAGGACCTGGTAGTAGATGGGTTGAGCTTCCAGTGAAGAATCCTCACCTTCTCCCTGCAGGCTCAGACAGCCAGAGGTCTGGCACTGAGCATGGGAGATCCTCTGGGGCCACCGAGACGCATTATAGGAGTCTCTGGAGAGGCAAGGAGAGAGGACAAACACATGTTTTAGCACCAATCATACAAAGCAATGAATGAAAAATGACATGAAGGGCCCTCAGACTTCACCTGTATGTCCACGGCGACAGAGACATGTTGGCGATGGATGAGGCAGACATGCTGACGATCTGAGGCTGCACCGAGGGATCCAGCACCAGTCTCAATACCTTTTCCTTCATTCCAGTTCCTTTCCACAACTTCACCGAGATGGCCTGGCGTTTTCTGGTGGCGTGCAACGATGCAGCCAGGCCTAGCACCAAGACAGCTCTCAACAACTAAATACAAGACAACAAGCAGGCCAGGTTCATTATAAGTGTTTTATCAGTAATGACATGAAACAGCAGCTAAAGACAAATCCAAAAAAATTATGACGAAAGGAGCAAACTGCATGAAATACTTGCAGCTTGTTTTGTATCTGTTGTCAGTTCTTGCTTTGCTTGATTTCGAAGTAATCAATTAATCAATATGTGAATGCTTGGATTAATTGGATTAATTTTTGAACACTCTGAATGACAGAAAAGTAAAGTCTCAGATATCTCTCATTTGCTTCACAATATTAAAACCTGCAGTATGAAATCTGTAACTGAGAGTCAAAACTTTTCATACAGTGTGAGCCCATCCTATTTAACAGTTTACATTATGTCGTATAAACATTAAATCACCCTTCGTATGACTGTCGATAAGAGATAAAGAGAAGCCGAGCAGTCCAACTCACCAGCAGCATGATTGTGTCGTCTCGCTTTCAGAGCTCAACTTCAAGTGTGAAGCGTTGATCTGCTGTCGTGTTGTGTCTGCATGCTCTCTGTGTTTATATGCAGGCAGACTGTGTTGGTGTTTGCAGTGCATTTCCGCTATGACTGTCGCTGATTTTAAAGATACACATGTTGATTTTCAACAAGATAAATGGTTGGCATTTTATTTCTTTGTCCATCGAAGACCTCCATCACTTTTCATGCTTTACCTTTGTATGCATATGTCCTATTGTCATTACAGTACATGGCAACATGCATCTCAAACATACAGAGGACATGATAAGACCGTGTTACACTCTTGTACAAATGACAACAGCTTTTACTTTCTCTTTAATGTTCAAAGTCTCAGGCTTTTTCCACTTAAACAAGTTTTGACCTTTCACTATCAAGTCATTATTTCCACTCGAATTTTAAATGTGTGATGAGCCAGGCGACACCTTCGTTTGTCTGACCTGTTGCATCCTGTGAAAACGTGTGAAAACATTCCTTCACCTATAGACCTTTTTGATGTGGCTATGAAAACGCCTGCACTGCTTCTCACTTTAATAGCAAAAAAATAAGTTTTTGATCTTAAAGGAAAAAGCAGTGTTGTGAAAAACTGCAAATTAAGCTGGAAAGTTTTCTTTCAGTATCCAAATCAAACCAGAGGAGACTTTGTCAACCCAAACCCAAGTAAGACAAGTTGTTAATTTTGTGATGTCCTGTCAAAATCTGGCTAAGATTTCATTTTAAAATAAGTCTGCAAATGTGATCTATAGCTGAAAGCAGAAAAACTGACTTCAGAGAGCAACACTAAAGTATGAGAAAATATTAGCATAATTTTGTTACGTTATCCCATTAAGAAACCAACATAGACTCAACATAGACTTTGTGTTTTCTTTATCCCAGTCACACAAAAAACATTATAGTAACTGCGCCTTTTCGCTGCCAACCCACTCTAAACAATTTAGGTCAAGGAAATGCTGACGGGGGTTCTGGTAATAAATCAGCATAACCACGTGATAACATCTTTCTCTCCTTATGTATCATATGAGTAAGGAGACTACTAACTGGAGCACAGCTGTACTGGATGTGATGTAACGAGAGATGGTTTGAGAACTGGATGCAGTTTGACACCATCAACCCTGCAAAATGAACAATATGTTCCTCGCAGACAAAATTTAAGCAAACTAATGCACAAAAAATGATGATGAATGACCGTAATAGCTGATCATAATGTAGAAATTTGAAAAACGTAGTGCGGCCTATAAAATACCTTTAGTTAAAGCTTGTAATAATAACAGTAAAGCAATGAACATGAGCAGCATCTCTGGAAAACAAACACTATGATATTGCAGTTTTGCAGTCAGCACTATGGAAGCTTGAGTGTGCCATAATGATTATCTGCTTTTACATTGTTTTATTATAATAAAAATTTAATTTATTTATTAAATCATGCATTAAAAACCCAAAGTTTAAAAACATGCTAAATGTTTATTCAGTATTATTTAATTCTGTTTCCTCTTTTGTCTTTAAATTATGAATTAATAATTAAAATTGGAATTGCAAAATGAATCTTAAAAATGCTTTTCCATGTTACTTTTTGTTACTGTGCTTATTCATTTTAATTATACAGCTGCAAACTTTAAAGGAATAGTTCAACATTGTAGGAATACAGCTGTCTGCTTTCTTACTGAGAGATAGAGGAGAAAATTGATACCACTTCCACATCTATAGGATAAATATAAAGCTACCGTCAAAACCTGGTTAGATTAGCTTAGCATCCAAATGTTACTCAAGGAAATTACTGCACTCAGCCAAGACATAGTTTGGCAAATAACCCCTTCTAAAACCATGACATGTCCTTTTTGCACTTCAGTTTCTTATGGTTTAAACAAACGAGGTATAATATGTTAACACACCAGCTTTAGGAGCGCTGGTGGACAGATTTTACAACCTTTGCACAGAGCCAGGCTAGCTGTCTGCACCTGTTCCCAGTCTCTGAGCTAAGCTAAGCTAACTGGCTGCTGGAGGTTGTTTCGTATTTACAGAACAGACATGAATGAGAAAGCAAATAATTGTAGGCTATTTGCCAAAATGTCAAACTATTCCTTTCTATAATTAAAGATGTGTGAATAATGTATCACCTAAAAGTTTAATTTTTTTAATTTTTTTTTATTGCAGTAACAGATGTCTGTGCATCTTGCAGATTTTACATAGACACTGTACCATCATTACGACCATATGAGCAATCACTCTCAGTTTCAGGTTTTTAGTGAATGCAACATGAATTGAGTAAAAAAAAAAAAAAAAAGGTGCATTAGTTCTTTCTTTATACTGTTTCCATATTCTTTTGCCAAATGGCTCTTCCTCTGTTCCCCACTAATTCCCAGTGAAGCACCCCAACAGTAACAAAGCAGCCGGCTTTAGTTTCCAGGCAGCTTTACAGCCTGTTACAAAAAAGTCTGCTGCCTTATTTCCCTGAGGTGATGTTTGACTCGATACCAAGTGACTGAGTCAGGTTCAAGGTCATTTATTTATATAGTCTCTCATCACAAGCATTGCTCAGAGGACTTTACAACTAACTCATTAAAGATCAATCACAGGACAAAATTATAATGTTGCATAATTTAACAAATAAAAGGGGCAGAAGAAAACAAAGCTCAAGACAGAGAATACCAAATGTCCTGCGATGAACTTGAAGACAAAATAAGATGAAAGAAATGAATTGCTGCTGATTTATTTATTTCTGAGTAATTTGGTACAGAGGGATGAGAGAGACGGTTCAAGTGTACTCTCCCATTATTAAGCCACCAAGCTGATCGTAGATGAAAAGAGGAACATAAGGATGTAAGAAAGAAACGGCTACATGGTCATAGTATCAGGCAAAGAAGACACCTTGCCTCAGCTGGTGCCTTGCGTGCAAAAAATAAATGACAAATCTGCCAAACAATACTCACTGTAAAGCTCCACTTGTGGGAAATGCATGGGAGGATCAAACGTTAGTTATCAGCGTTGCGTTGGTTTAGCTGTAAACCTCAATCGATCACTATGATAACGTTGTGACATGCTTCTGATTCATTGACAGTTCTTTTGACAAATGTACTGTTTTAGTTGATTCTTGATGCCACAACAAATATTACTGATGTTATGAAAAGATAAGAAAATGATGACTTAACGCAGGAGAGATGTAGGACAGTTAAATGCAAACAGTTGCATCTAAAAACATTTAACTCTGCCATATTGTTGTGTGTTTGTTTGTTGCGTATGTCAAAAAATAAAAAGTTGAAAACATAAAACAAAGGATGGATGGATGGATGCCAAAGTAGACATGTAGTTTCCAACTGCAGATTCTGGGAGAAGTGAAGTCTGTTTCCCTGTTGATGCTTCCCTTTACCCTTCCCCCCCTGAACCTGAATCTAACTTTCACCCTAACTCTCACCTGATCAAGAAGCGCACCCTAACATTTACCAGTTATCTCTACTAACTCCCAGCTCGGGAGCTTTTTTAGCAATAGTTTTGACATTTTGGGAAATATGCAAACTGGTATTCACTTTCCTGCCAAGTTATTTACAGTTTCCATCCAATGAAAGGAAGACACAGTCGGTAGCTGGTTAGCCTAGCTTAGCATAAAGCATTGTAAAAAACGCTACATTTTTACCTGTAAAGCTACATCATCTTACATGTAGGTTTTTGTTCAGATTAAGATGCAAGTTTCTCAAACTTCTCCTGAGGATTTGATACCAACGCTCACGAGCAACTGCAGCTGGTGCTTTGTGTGTACTTAACATTTTTGAGACTGGAGAGGCTCATAGTAACAGGAACAGGATTTCAGTATTTTGTTTATTCAACAATGATCGTGATGAAACCCACAGATAAAAAAAAAAAAAAAGAAAACTAAACTTGCCTTGAGCTGAGAAATGTGATGCAGAGACAAGCTGTAGCCTTTGATACAACTGATATGAGTCAGCCGTGGGTTGTGAGAGTTTGCGGCCTCTTGTGTAATGGATAGTAGCGGCAGTTTCTAGCTTGTCAGGGGGTTAGAGCAAGACTCGAGCGATTCGTGGTCTTATCTTCAGACTGATCAGAGCCAGTTAAGTAACATAATGGAGCCAAGATCATGCTGTACGTCTACAATTTGCTAGTGTGGGTGCAAAGACGCCGTGTTCCCCCACCGCCCCATTTATCTGACTGATGGGAAACCTGTTCACCTTACAGACGAGTGTCGACTAATTGGGGTAAAGCGGCGTGAGAAGTGAGGTGGAACAGTGAAGCCCTCACCAGTCGAGAGGTGTCTAGCTGTGTGGGACCCACATCCCACACAAGATGAGGTCTGGATTTATTTGTGGTTCCAAATAAAAAAAAAATGTTTCTTGTAAACACACGTATACATGCAGGAGGTGTCTTATGGGAAATTACAAAGTTCCCAGTATTATTTACCATTTTTCCAGCTAGATTTACTCTAACAGAAAAAAAAAGAAGAAATACAGGAAGGGTCGGTTGTTTGCAAAATCTGGGACATCACACAAGACATTTACTGGCATTAGGTACTCAGTGATTTCCCTGCATGTATTGAATACAGAACAGAAAGTCGTCACAGACTGTTGGACCCACTGAGGGTACGGTGGCCCTGAGAGCTCAAAGCACTGCAACTCAACAAAACACATGCAAATTAACAAGAATTCAGAAAACATCACGTGCTGCAATTACTCCCGACACAACAGACGTGTTACTAGGTGTGTTTCAATTAACCTGCTTGATGCGCAATTTGAAATGGAAAACTAAAAAATGAGTAAAGGAAACACACGAGTTCAGACAAAAAAAACGTACTTGCATGAAATGGTTTCTCAGATTCAAGTCGTGGCTCCCGTCGTATCAGGCCCCAGGGAGCCAGTTCCAACTGAGAGGCAGACTGCTGGAAATCCATCATGTTTAACTGGGGAAAAAAAAAAAAAAAGGTCACAAAGCATTGAACAAGTGCGTCCCAGCCAGGTTCATCACTTTTTAGTGTCCCCTGGAAACACTTCTGCTGTGTTGCGAGTATTTGTAGCATGTGTTG